TGTCCAACCAGACAAGCGCACAAATTATATAATTAAGACCCGACGCAGAGTTATTATTTACTCACATACATAGAACATGAGCTGGCAAAGAGTTTCCATTTCCACCGAAAAAATTGTACAGAAAAAACTGTGTTCCTCTTTACCGATGGAAATAGTTGTTCATTAACATGTCACTTATTAGTTAATTAGTTTAAATTAAACACTTTCATTGGTTTTGCTAAAGAAACCAATTTAAAATGGAATCAATAAAAATGTGGGTATATTAAGGCATAATTTGTTAATCTCTTATCAACAATCAACTAAAACTATCGGGTATCCTTGACTTAGGTTTCATAAAAGATATGTTAAAATTCAAATTTTTCATACGAAAAATTTAAAACAATATTTGACGAATTTAGGAATAGAAATCAATAAATTAAATACTTTAACTATACTATAACTACATATACATATATTTATTTAGACTATTAGTATAAATACAAGGATCCTTGTCGCAATAAGATAATAAGATTAAAATAATAAAATAAATCAATCAAAAAGTATTATACATAGAATACATCAACATTTACTTATAAAATATTGTTTGATTAAGAAATATCTTTCCTATCCATTTTGACTAATGCAATAAAAATCAGTTTTAGACTTAAACAGATAATAATATCGAGGACAATATAATATGGAAAATATACTAAACTTTAATTTATTAAAATGCTGTAAAAAAAAAAAAACAAGAAAATAAGCAGAGACAAGAACATATGATTTAATTATATGAATATGATTTGTATGATTTAATTACATACACAAAATGTGAAAAATATAAATATAAAAAAAATAAGATAACATTTTTTAGAATCTAAATATTAGACATATGTATATATTCTAAAATTTATTAAAGTCCTTTTGTGACTGGTTCATTTATATAATAACCTTGTATTACTTGCAAATATTATAAATAAATGATTATTTTATGTGAAATGGCTCAATAACAGCATCAATTTCTAACTACAATTAAAGTATAAATTTAGAATATTGTATATAACGCATACTATTGACAACAAAAATGCAAAAGAAATCAGTAACCGTACTTCATTTATTTTTATTTTACTGATAACATATTTTTACAGTTTACAAAACAACTTTTTTGATAACTATTTTAAAATTATTAATCAAAAGATTATTGTTAAAATAACAATTCAGGCTCAAAAAAATAACTGTCTTGCTCACATATCTCAAAATTAAATTATATTTATGCTTATGTTTTTAATGCATATATTTATATTTTATATTATTATTATTTATTTATATTATCTTTACAGAATAGGAAATAAATACATTTAGTTGATAGAAATCATTGTTATTAAAAAAATATTTTGGAAAAGTCGAATTAAACATTTTAAAGCCAACTTATAGATAATCCTTTTACGTTTATAAACAAGAATAATAGTTAAAAGTAAATGTAGGCTCGTTTTTGGCCCAGAATCTTGATGACTTTCTCTCATTTTGCAACGCCAAATGATCGGATTACTTATCGATTTTGACCTTAAATATCGACACTCTCGATAAATTAATATCTCGTTTTCTCTTGCCTTTTCTTGGCACTTTCGTAGTTAATTATTTTTAATAGAGATGGGTTAGGAAGTCTTACTGATATTATTAGAATTATTTCTTCAACTTCTATAACAGTTTCCCTAGGAACTAGGGCTCTTTGTTTTGCTGATCCCATTCTGTTGACAATTCGAAGCCAATTCTTTCCCAGAATCAGAAGCTTTTCCCACTCAACACAGCTCGTAAAGCTGATAAACAACCCAAAACAAAAAAAAGCAATAAATATATATGAATATGAATATTTATTCGCGTCGCAATCGAGTTGTTCGATCGCAGCACGAGCTGGATGCCTCTCAAGCCTCTCCTCAAGCCTCAAGCCTGGCTGCCGGCCGGCTTGGCAAACGTAAATAATAACAACTGTAAAAATCATAATAATAACAATAACAAAGCGCTCGCTCGGCCCAGCGCCGATAAAAATAATAAACAATTCAGAGAGGAGAGAGAGGAGAGAGGGGAGATTGTAAATATTGAAAGGCGAACAAAGTGCTTGGAAATGCAAATCACACGCCCAATTTAACAAATTAATTGAATCGGTTTGTAAACAAATCGAATTTCAATTGCGGTGGCTAATTGACTGGCTTGATGGATTCCGAGGGGAATCCCGGGGAAAGAGCTTAATGGGGGATATGTATTTATGATATTGTGATGAAAGATGTTTAGATTATGACGCAGTTCAAAGGCAAATCAATTAATATCAACTGGAAATCAATATATAATTCAATTCAAGATTCAAGGCACTCTTTACATCAAGAAGAACTCACTGGAAAACGTTCTGAAATCCCTTTTTTTCAACCAATCCTTTAACTCTCTTGGGCCACCCATCAATCACCGCCCAATTAGGACTGATCAATCGCCGCTTTTGATCCATCATTGCACTCATAATTATAATTGAAGCCACTCTCCTTTTACCAACAAAAAATAATAATAAATAAATGCCACATAATTGAGTTGTCACTTGTCTGCGCAGCTCAATCGCTTGGAAAACCCGGAAAATCCAGCCGAGAATGGGAAGTAGGGAGAGTTTTTGGCCAAAAAAGATATAGATATTTCCATCGATATTGGTGTCTGTCCTGCAAGGACACAGGAATGGGACTGCGTCTGGTTTTCCAGGAAGGTGTTGCAGGACAATAAAAAACACAAAAACGAGAGATTGGGAATTTGTGAGGCAAGGAGAAAGAAAGAAAGAAAGAAAAAATAAAGAGGAGCGCAAATGGCAGGACAATGGCAAAAAGTGGCACAGCACACAAAAGGGCTGCCACAAATGCAGTTATCTTTTGCAAATTCCATCCGTAGAAATGATGGGTTATTAAATGTTGTTAATCTCCCAGTCCCAGTCCCAGTCCCAGTCCCAGTCCCAATCCCAATTCCAATCCCAGTTCCAGGCACATATTCAAATTTCAGAGGCAGGTAGCCATCGTCGTCTTGACCGCTATGGCAACCACTCTGTGTTTTGGCCAGGTCAGAAGGCCGCAGGACCTGCAAGGGATGTCGAGCCTCTTGGCATTTGCCTTTATTGTGCATGCTGTTTAAATATTTACCGAGTTTTACAATATTTATGACAGCTAAAAACATAACAACACCTACTTACCCAAAAGGGCTCAGCGAGACAGAACAGGCCTAAAAAGGGGACACTTGACACTGGACCCGGTCTCAGTCCGGGCTGCAGATATAACCTCTGGTCTGGTCCGGCTTACAACCATGGACTTCCTTCGATCGATTGCAATCAATAAACGGCTTAGACGGCATTATATATATACACATATATTGTATGTTAGTACCACAGCGTCTCGTGCTAATCCATTTGCATGTCAACAGCAGCAATGTCCTTGGTTCGTCCCTGTCTGCTTCCGTTCGCCGAGTGCTAATAATCCGTACTGGACGGGGCCCTAAGTTGCCACTAAGCGCCCTAAACGGAGCTTGGCAATAAGCCAAGGCATTAAAAAGTAAATTTGCCTAAATCCGCTTAAAACAAAGCGGGGATTTGGATGGTACTCATACTCATATTCATATTCAAATTCGAATTCAGACACTTGGACGAGACAAGTGTAGCCGTGTTTTTGGTTAACACCGGGGATAAGCGGCAGCTCATCTGGCAGCTGATCCCAAAGCCGGACTCTTTGCTTCAGGCTTCAGCTTTATGGTAATAGAGTGGTGCACTTGGCACAGCAAAACTTTCATTGAGAAGTCTTGTTTCATTGATCGAAATCCATTCATTGGGCTAGTGATTGGGAGATACAGGTAGATACCCAAAGGGGGAGTTGGTAATTGGTGGGGCTCTTTCACCTTGGGAGCCATTACCCTGGAGATCATTAAACCCTTTTACTCTTAAGGAGATCAGGGGAAACATCTTAGGATGACAAGGAACCTGAGAGCTAGGAGAAAGACCTATGATGCTATGATCCTTTGGTTAACCCAGAGAAAAGACACTTTAATTCGAGGATATCTTAGGAGTATTCTCAAGGTAAAGAGACTTTAACTCAAGGGTATCTTTATATTTTAAGAATATTCCCAGAGAAAGAGACTTTACTTCAAGGGTATCTTAGTACTTTCTTTGATACATTTCGCACATTACTTTATTTAAGGTAATTTTCTATTAGAGGCTAAGATCTAAAGTATATCAAAACTAGCCTTAAAGTGCTTGTAAAATTTCCAAATCAGGGCCACAAGGAAATGGTTAATTCCCTATCATTACCAAAGATAGCTAATGAGATTTTTTTGTATTATAAAAACATCACATAAATGTGCCTCTCAAGTTTGAACTTTGTGACAATTGTTGAACTTCTATTGTAAGCAAAGTTCACTGATAAATGTACTCAGTAACTGCACTTCTTTTTAAAACAATTACCCATTAAAGACCACATACATTCTCCAAGTAACTAATTCCATTTAAACGTCCTTAAGTCTTTTAATCATAATATATTAATATATCATAAAGTTCCCATTTCCCCCCAATCAATCATTTGTACATTTTTTATATTTTCATTTCAGTTTATTTGCTTTATTTCGCAGCTGGATTAAATATAATTCGATGGATTCTATAAATACGAAAATCGATTTCTAGCGGCGATCTTACGCTATATACAATTTAGTTTAAATACGAACTAGTCAAGCACTATATCACAGATGTCACGAAAAAACACAAGCTAGTCTAGCGAAAAAAAATGTGCTCTTAGATCTAACTTAGTCTAGTTACGATTGGTTAGCTTAGCCTACTAGCTAGCAGGAGTGAGGAATCAGGATTAGGGATTAAGGGTCACATAATATTCCAGGGGGGAGGGATAATACTTCCATTAGGAGGGGGATGGTGCAGTTGCTCTTATGTGACTAGAACGGCAACGGCTGAGGTTCAGGTTGAGGTTGAGGTTGAGGGTCATATCTCCAATAAATACGTACAATTCGGTGCTGGCAATTGAATAATTTACTTAAGCCTACGTTCGGTCGATTAACGTTTAAATTAATGGCGGGAGAGCTCTGTGGATGGGTGTATTTGGAGGAGATTGTTTGTGTTTGTGTTTGTGTGTGTAATCCTGAGGATGGGAGAAGCTGCAACCTCTCACGTGCGCTGCACGCTCGACTGGCGCTTGCCACGCATTCGGGTGGCACTTCTGCCACCGCCGGTTCCAGCACCGACCGTAGAAGATCCTGCCGCCGTTGCACCGGTACCAGAATTCGAGGCACTAGGACTTGGCTTGGACACCTCGTTGAACTCCTTGCGATTGAGGGCTGGGTTCACGGAGCTCCGCCAGCGCTGCTCCAATTGATGCTGCTGTTTCTTCTGGTTTTGTTTCCGCGAGTGTTGCTGCTTCCCCGTCTGCTGCTGTTGATGTTGATGATTTTGATGATGTTGATGTTGATGATGTTGATGATGATGATACTGATGTTGGTTGCGTTGATGATTTCGCTGCTTTCTGGGCCGACGCTGGCCATCGCGACGCAACAGCTGCCACATGGTGCGCAGGAAGTCATAGTAATGATGCTTCACGAAACGCATGTCAATGGAATCGGCACTGGAGGAGCCACTAGCTCCACTTGGTCCACCGCCCGCCTTGGAGCGCAGCTTCAGGCGCTTGTTCATCTCCAGCCGGGAGATTTGCGGCAATGGAGCGGCAGACCCCGATGATGATGATGATGATGATGATGCTACCGTTGTGGCACCACCACTTCGCCGCTGCTTTTGCATGTGACGCGGACTCTGTGTCTGATTGACGGCCGTTTCCAGCTCGCAAAGGATACGCCGGGAGCTAAGGAGCAACTCACGGAGCTCCCGGGCAGTGCTCGATTCCCGGGTGATGGAGCGTTGATCCCAGCGGATTTGCTGGCGTCTCAGATAGGCAAAGCTGGCCACATATGTTTGCATGTTGCGGTACCAGCGCTTCAGGGCAATCTATAAAAAGGATATCAGAGAGAGAGAGATATGGAAGAGATTCAAAATTAGACAGGAAGTTCTGCATAAGATTTTGTAAGGATCTTTAAGATACTTTTTCAAGTAGATATCTAGGGTTATTTAGCTTCAAGGACTCACCGTTGAATTGGGCTTTAGCTTGGGCAGAAACTTGTAGTTGTGCGTGTGCAGGGACCACATGGTCATGTTGCGTATATCAATGGCCGAGTCCTGGCTGCTATTTAGACTGCGGTACTCCCTAAAGGCATGTCGCTTCAGCTGATTGAAGCTCTGTGGATAAGAGAGAGTAAAAGAGATCAAGGGTTAGTCCTGTTTGTGGGGCAGAAGCTCCTGAAGAAACTCACCTGCCTGGGACGCAGGCGTTTAAGACGCTCTCCCGCCGAGGGATGATAGTTGCCACCACAGGGATTGGCCCACTCCAGGGCGGTGGTGTTCTCATCAAAATTGCGATAATCTATCCAGTTGCTATTCCGCTTCCGATGGCGCTTCCTCAAGCCTGAGGAGGAGGAGGCGGAGGAAGCGGCGGAGCTGTTGCTATTGCTATTGGAGGTGATGGTACTCGAGGTGGTGGTTCGCACCTGAAGACGTGCGGCATCGATCACGGTTAGTCCGCCGCTGCTGGTGGAGCGTGTTGCCACCGGCTGTGGCAGCTGGGCGGCTAGCATGATGGCAAGCAGTAGCAGAAGCATTTGATAATGGTGGTGGTGGTGGGCCATTGCCGCATGTTGCTTGCAACCCGTACCGCCGGCGTTTCCGTTTCCGTTTCCGTTGCCGGCCGTGATGCTGCCTTTACCTTTGGTCGCAGCGCAATGCCGCCAACCAACTGGAGTAAGTGCGTCCATATCCATCGTGGGCAGGATGAAGGGTAGGGAAAGAAGGCGGTGGAAGGACAGGGTAAAAGAAAAGAAGAGGAGACAGACTATGAGTAAAATGGAAATTCAAATCGGATCCAAATGATTCCAAAAACTCTTTTCAAAACTCGCGACTCCTACAACTCCTAGGGATACTGGTCTAATCCTGGCTTCTCTCTCTCTCTCAATCTGATATCCTTGAGGCCTCGCCCGATTGATTGATTGATTGACGCTTCGCTGCATTCAATGCGAGTGCAACAACAACAGCAACCGTGCAACAGTCTGTGCAATTTTGTTCGCTTTTTTTAACATTTTCTCTGCGTATTTGTTGATTTTTTTTACGTTTTTTTACTTATTTTTTATTATTTCCAGGGCTATAAATATGTGTAAATGTGTTTTTGTTTTGGGGTGAGTGGTGGTGGTGGTGTTTTTTTCGGAAAGTGAAAACTTATTAATTTAGACAATTAACTCGAGAGTAGCCTGAGCTTGAGCCTGAGCAAGCCTCCTCAAGGGCGGGAAAATTTGGTGCAGAGAAAAGCGTGAAAAACGGCACCTGGAATTTCCACGGCGAAAGTTCGAGGCAAAAATTTTGGGACTACAAAAAAATAATGTTTGATTATTTGAAACTCACAAACTGAAGCTAATCTCTTTCGATTGAGTCACAAGATTTTACTAGCTAAATATTAATCCTGGTCGCTTTGGAAATCATTATCCTTTGAAGACTGGAGATCCTTGTGGGCTGGCTCCAATCTCCAAACTGATTGGGTTTCTGTTTATTTTTTTTTGTAGTGATTAAATTAAAATAATACACACACCGCATTATAGTTGAAAAATTAGATTCGTCAAGGATCCTCGCAGGATCCCCGTGCTTGCTTCGATCCTTATCGAAGATGTGCAGCTGCCTTTATCGTAACGGTTAATCCAAGTGGCAATCGCGATCACTTTTGCAAATACACAAAACACTTGAACAAAAATATATTTCTAGATATTTATCTGACGACGGATAATGATTGCTGATCTCTATGAAAGCAGAGAGAGTCTTGGGCCTTGAGTTTTGGGTTTTGGTATCTCTGGTTTCTTGGTGACTGTTCGCGGACACTTCTGCTCGCGTCCGAGTGTGAAAACGAACTGAGCCAAAGTTGCGATGGATTTGACCAGCTTTCTTTGTTGAGAGGCTGTGGCCGTGGCTGTGGCTCGGACTGTGGCAGCAGCGGCTGCGGCTGCGGCTGCGGCTGCTGAGCGGTACAATACGAGGCGACCCGACGACGAGCAGCGCCAAAAGGCCGAAACCCAAACCGAAACCGAAACCGAGATCGCCACCAAGCCGAGCTCTGTCGACGTCGCTGCAAAGTAGAGCAAGACAAGCAGCACGAGCAGGCCATGATCTCTAGCTCCGTCTCGCTCTGATCCTCGGTATCCCGGGCCACCTGCCGGGGTCATATATATATATATGTATACCTGGCATACAGTCGCCGTCCCTGTTGCTCCTGCAGGCCACACGGTCGCCATTGCAACCTCCGTTATCCCTGCTGTCCAATCCGCTTCACTCGCTCACACACAGGGAGAGAGAGTGAAAGAGAGAGCGAGTGAGAGAGAGTGATCTTGAGCACAGGAGGGAGAGCCTACCTGACCCTGTCCCGTTCTCACAGCCCCTAGTTTTCCCCTCACACTCCCTCTCTTTCACTCTTTCCCACTGTTTCGCTGTCTGCCTTTAAAGTGACCTTGAGCCTTGGCTGCCCCTGCCCGCTCACCCCCTCTCTTGACCCAAGAGTAAAATAAGTCCTGAAATTTGAATTCGATCAACGGAAATGACCAGAAAGAACGATCCAGGTAGGGAAAGGTGAGGCCTCTTCGAGAACTCTCCACATGGGGGAAAGCGGAAAAGCGGGGATCCCAACTTGAATTCATTTCAAAAAGTGATTTCAATTCTTATTTCAAATTTAGACTTCTTTGTACTATAAAATAATTAAATATAAATTTATAATATAAATTAATTTGCTTTAAATAACATCGAAAACAATTAGAAAAAAATAAAATTGTAATAATTTATATTTTATATTAATAAATATATATATATATATATATATATATTGTATTATATTAGAAATTGATGAATATATAATCACAATTTTAGATTTTTTATCTTATATATTTTAATAATTAATATATATAATATTATTATATAAATGAATGTTTCTTACTTAGTTCGATTGTATTTAATTTTTATAGTTCCTCTAAGAACACTTCAGACTGATTTGATAGACGCTCATCTGTAATTCACCATAAGTATTTATTATATGTATTTATTATAATATTAACATCAATAATACTAATTAAAATTATATATTTTTTTAGAAGACAAGTGGATAATATAGTCTGTTTTGAACGTTTTTCTGTAATTTGCACTACCGATCAGACTTTAACTTGTCACAGCAATCAAACAAGGGAACATTATGGATACTTTTCAGAACATCTTTAAAATGCTTAAGTTTTGAAATTGAAGTTTTTACACTCCTTGCACTTAAATCTTAAATCTTTCCTAAATTATTAATTGGTTCGAATTCATTATTTTCCCTAAAAAAAATCCAAACAATTTCTGTAATATATCTGAAATTTCCATACATTTTATAATATTTATATTATATTATTATTATTATTATTTTTAATATTATTATTATTATTATTATTATTATTATTATTATTATTATTATTATTATTATTATACTATTATTATATATATATTTTATATTATGTAGATATTAATTTAATTAAATTTTATTTTATTTAAAATTTTTTAAATATAATTTTGTACACACATACCATATAATTAAAAGTGAATATAGATATAACTCGAAATTCGTTTCTTTTTTAATTGTATGTTTTTATTTGATTAAGTAAAGGGTATTAAATAAGCTTTATCTTCTTTTGAAAAGTATTTAATCACATGGAAAAATCAGTGCATTGGCAGTAGGAATTTCCGGAACTGGCAAAGCTATAGTTTCGGCTTTCAACTTTTATATAACAAAGACCGCACACAGTTGGTCCAGGTAAATGGGTGCTGGGCTACCTAGGATCTAGCAGGATCTGCCAGGATCTCCTCGTACTCTCACTTCTAACCAACGGCAGGACTCCCCTTTTTTTTGGGCCAGGTCAGAAGAGTGCTGCCCTGGTTTTCATTTCTCGAGGGCTTGCACAATTGACGGTCTAATTAAATCGAGAGAGTTGTGTGTATGTATTGGCATTGTTTTGTTGTTTTTGTGGGCAGCACACTGAATTATGGCCGCATTGTTTAAGGGGCCCGAAAACAGCTGTAGAGATGGCCAGATAGCGGACAACCGTAAGTACAACAACTGCCGCAGGAAGCAGCCGTGTCGCCCAGCGGGGCAACTCGCCTTGATTTCGCCGCCAGGACCCGGGGACCCAGCACAGTACACACACAACCCACACGGGACGCAGGCACAGCATGCAGGACATGCACGTACATATATCAAGGTGGCACACCTTTCTGCCCGAGAGTGTCCTTTGGGAACCCAAACCCATCACCCATCTTCCGAGGACGATTCGCACCCGGAGCAACAGCTTCATCCTGGCAATGGATAGATGCATCTCTATCTGGACACGATTATTGCCTTGATGAGCTCCTGCTGCTGCTGCTGCACACCATAACACACACCGTTCCCGGCGGGATGCCATTCTCTTCGCAGGATCACAGGATCACAGGATCTCCACTCGGCGCTCGCTCTCCTTTGGACTCTTGGTGTGAGTGTGTGTTTTACTTACAATTCGTTCTGGACAACAAAAATATTTTGCTACAAAATTGAGCTGTTCTGTGAGGTCCTGAGGCCGCCTGATGAATGCATTGTGTCCTGTCATGGTGTAATTTTTTAGCGGCGTGGCGAATGCCTAAGGATACGCTTTAATTGCCACAACGAACACCTCGAAGGTTAACCGAACCGAACCGAACAACGAGGATCTTGTAGATCCCTCGTAGATGTAGAAGACATCATTACACGCTGCTCAGGCCCAGCTCCTGTCCCTCAGGCTACCTGGATGAAGGACCGGGAACAGGACCAAGCACATTGTGGCCGGGGTAGGGCGGGGGCGGGGGCGGACCGTATCGTACCGGAGGCAGGGGGGGGCGGTACAACAACGGAGGTGTGAGTTTCTCGGGGCCAGTTGTTTTGATGTTTTTTGATTATGCGTAAAATCGCTCGCTTTATCACTGATCGCCCCTGCAATTCTCACATCCGAAGACGAAAACGAAACCGTTGCGAAGCGAAGCAATATCCTTCCTGCTCCCGAATGTTAAGGTTTTCCTAAACGGTTAGTCAGTCGATTTGTTTGTTTTTGTTTATTTTGTCTACAGCCGCTCATCGCCTTGCATCATCCTTTATAACCGATTGCCGTTGCAATTGGCATTAGTTATGGCCTTTTATTTGCACCAAGGAAGCGATTGATTGAGGAAATTTAATGGTATTCAGGGATATAGCTGCCAAGGACCCAGAAGAAGGAATAATATTATATCAATAAGGTTTATTTCTTGTACAAAACACTGGAGTCTTGCAGTACAAAAGTGATTTTTAATTCAAAATAATAATTATACAATTTAAAGTAGGAGTTTCCCTAGATATTTAGCGTTAAGGTATTATTTATATATATTATAAGGTTTTACTTAATGGCTATCAACTTTTATCCATTAAATAACTCAATTTCGGTGTGAAATACACCCACTTAAGTTTTGTTCTTATACATATACTTAAACCTCCTTAAATTGTTGGTATTATCTCAAATTAAAGGGGTAAGAATTTGTTTAATCTTTTTTATTAAATCAAAACTATCTTTAGACCCTTTAGACCCGCAGGATCTTAACATCAATTTCATTGTAAAAATTATTTATGAAAGTAAATTTTATAATAAATAATAATAATTATAACCGCACGAATTTTTGTATTGCGTTTACTTAATAGATCTTAAGGATTATAGATCTAAAAGCATCTTAAAGAAACTAATGAATTTCCATTTAAAACCATTTTTATGATTGCTAAAGTTTAAAGGTTCTTATAAATATTCATATTTATATTATATTATTATTATATAGCAATATTAGTAATAATAAGCATTAAGTAGTAATTTTAGTAAGAAGTTTGCATCGCAGTAAAGTAGTAATTTCTGACTCTATAATTCATATATATGTATATATATCTAGAAAAATTAAATCTACTAATATTTTTTAATTTATAAAGGGTTTGAAGAACTTTCATTGCCTACAAACAAAAATCTTTATTAAATTAACATCTTAAAGTTCCTATAAGACATATATTGTCAGTCTTTTTGATGGTATTTAAAGGCCAGAGAGAGAATGTTTGAATAAACTCAGAAACATATATTTTAAATTGCCATGAAAATATTTTTTATATAAAAAAAACAAAATTTAAACTAATGATTGAATGATTTTAATAATATTTTATTTTGTTAAGAAGTAATTACCTTCTTAAAATGGGCACAGGTTTAAAAAAAGAAAAGAGTAAAAAAAACACAGAAATGCTTACCATTACGATCTTGATTAATTTTAGGCTTAGTTTTCAAAAGATTATAAATTAAAATTGCAAACTGCAAAGAGTATAGAAGGTCCGGCTTACCAGAGTTACAGAGTTTTATTGTTTAATTTGAAATATATTTTATTTTTTATTTTTATTTAATTATTTTATTATTGTAACTTTGTATGCTTGCCTTAGTTATTTAAAAACATATATTAGAAATTAAATAATACATGAAAATAATTAGATCTGCGATGCTATAAAAGTATATTCTGAAGGCCATATGAATAAATATACTTATAATACATTTTTAAGGATTTTATACAAATAACTATAAATAATTAGTTTGTCATACATAAAACAAAAGCTAAAATAGTCCCGTTAAGCGAAATATATAGAGGGATCTCCCACCTGCCTCAACCTGTTATTCGCTTAAGGTTGCCCTACAATTACACTTTTAATTGCACTTTTTCCCCTCCAAACAGCCCCACAGCAAAATGATTTATTTTCGATGCCACCCACTGTGGCGGGGTTGCCTGCCGCCCAAAAGGATTGGATTGCCTCCCCCCAAGGCGAAGGCGTGGCACCGAGCTCGTGGGTGTCAGTGTATGTGTCGGTGTGTGTGCATGCCGGCGGCCTTTGCCGATTGGCCTGCTGCCGCCTGAGCGTCACTCCAGAAACGAGCGAGCACGAAGCCACTCGGCCAATAGCCGAGCCCCCAGCTGGCTCCGTGAGAGCGCAGAGAGCGCGTGAGAGAGCGGCGGCGGCGAGTCGAGTGGAAGAGCGGCGGCAACAGGTTGCTGCGAGAGATGGAGAGCGAGCGAGCGAGTGAGAACAGGTTGACGTCGAGGGCCTAGCGTGGCTTTTCATTCATAAAGTCGTCCGTTGGCGCGGCCTGCTGCTGCTCTGCCGGCGCTCGGCAGCGCTGCCGCTGCCTCTGTCGCTGACTCAATGCAGCGCAGCTCGATGGGAATTCACAGTTACGTCGATATCGGGGAGACTGACGCCATTGCCACGCGCCCTTGCACCCTGCATCTCTCCATAACCAACACCATCCCCCACTCCATCTTTGATCGCACCTAACCGAAGCCATCCGATCCCTTTATCCCCGTCGAAGCGAAGCCTGCCAAGTGGCAACGGTAAATGCAGCTCAGATCGGCACAGCCCCCGCTCCATTGAAAAGCCCCACAATATCCCCGCAAAGCACGCAGGCCTGGCGACAGCTTCTCAGCGGTTTTATAGCCAGATTTGGTTCATTTGTTTAAAGCTCAAATTCGCAAATAGATCGAATATTATTTACCCTTATATTTGGTCACACTAATCACTGTACCAAGGAGAGAGTAGTAAAAGAAACCTACAGAATTTGGACATAGATCTGAGAACTTATTTGATTTACTTCTAGTTTGAAATACTGAATATGGGTATACATGTTCCTAAAAATTGTACATGTTTAAAATACTTAAGAGAATTAAGAGAGAGATAAAGAGATAAGAGAAAGTTTCTATCTTTTAAGGTAATTTTATTTATCTTTGTTTGGGTAACTCAAGTGTGACCAGAGTTTTTTGTCATAATGTACGATATTACTTTATTAGTAAAAGACCTATATCCTTTCTTATAAAATATGTACATAAATACATGTAAAAAATATATATTAATACTCGTCTACAGTCAAGTCAATCTAGACATGCTAGGCTGTCCCGCAATCCTTAATTCATAGGCTTACAAGAATCTTTTTTGTAAACCTTATAAAAGAATCTTTCTATATAATCATCCTACCATTGTAAATAAATACATGTGTCGGAACTGGATCGTTTAACTATATCTCAAATCTGACATGGAAAAGATAACATATGGATAATGTAAACAGAACTGTTTCGTCTGTGCAAACATTTTACCATGTACTTTGAGATATGAGCATTTCTTGTAATTTCATTTGTCAATGGTTTTAGTTTTATAAAATACAATGACTATATCATATATAAACTTATATAATAACATGTCTGTGGTAACTTTTATATGCCATTAGTCACAGTTGGATAAATATGCAAACTGCAATGATGTACAAAGCTCAGCTCTCCAATGTAAACATAATTTACAAATTCATGTGCATATTTATGTGGAAATACATATTTTTAAATGGTGACAACGACATATAGTTTGTAGCCAAAAAGTACAAGCTATCTTTGGCAAACTTTCCTGCCAACACTGACACTACACCTGGCACACGCAGAGATCACGCGACGATTGCCCGACATTTTGCCTAATGGTCCATGAGTCACTAGCTGGCGGTGCTTGGGGTTTTCTCACAGCTTTGGGGCTTGGGGAGCGAGTGAAAAATAAAACCTTGGATATCTAGCGGAACGTGCCCCGGGCACGAGCCATAAACCGATGGTTCAACCGATGGGGTGGGTCAATCTGGTGGAATCTCAAGCATTTCCCACTATTTCCGATTCCAGGTTATAATGGGGTATTACTCAATCGTGCCATAAACTCGCCCTAAACACCTTTCATATATTGTAGCCATTAAGACGACGTACTTGATCATCACCTGGAATAATTCGGATGACAAGGGAAATCAGATCCATGGTAAACATTTATAAAACTTTAGGGTATTTCATACAGGTGTGAACATTATTTGTACAGCATAAAATGCTCTTTATTAGCTGAAAGAAATAACAATTCTGTAAACAATTCCACCATCTTTTAATAAACAAAAAATAATACTTATTAAGCAGTAAATATTTTATTAAATTTCGACATCCTTTAGTTAATATTTGAGAGGGGTTAAGTGAAGTAACACCAGAAAGTAGGCAACAATTTGAGCCAGGACTATTTATAAAAATATATCATATCATAAATCATTACATATTAATTTCTTAAGCTAAGCTCCAAAATAGTTTCCTTTTCAAAATAGTTTTCCTTTTATAAAAGATTAAAACACTTAATTACTTTAAGTCCTTTAGATCCTGACATATCACTTCTGGAATTCAGTTGTATTTCTTAGTTAGATTTATAAGTTTTCTTGAACTTCCATAAGTGAGACAAGTGACTAATTTCGATCCAGTTCAAATTTCTTTCAATGACGAAATGTTTTATCGGAATACTACTACTACAACTACTACTGAATCCCAACTTCCAGGTTTAAAGAAGAAACGTGACCATTCATTAATGCAGTATAATATATTTTTAATTGTAATATAAGTTATATAAAAAAATACACTTAGACAATAGTATACATAATTTATCGAGCCTGCGAGGCGGTGTATGGGTTGGGTGTGAGGCGATGTGTGCGTGGTCATGGATATAAATAGTATGAGTAGCGATTTAAATTCTAAATGGATTGGCGGTAAGAAGAAATAAATAGATAAATATAGTGGCAAATAAATAAATAGTAGGATCTAAGTACGAATGGGGTAGTGGCCTTGTGGGGCTCTTGAGATTGCAGTGGGTCAGCGGTATCAGTTTCTTTTTGGTATTGCTTGCTATCCGATCGAGATCGATCGAATCGAAGTGGCTTCAGGTTAGTTAAGCCTTGAGCAGCTGCTCATAGGTATACTCCAGTACGGTCAGCACCTTGATGGTCTCCATGGCCACGAAGAAGGGCAGCCGCACCAGACCCTGGTGGTAATGGATCTCCTTCTGGGGATTGCACTGCTGCTCCTCCATAAGGACCATGGCACTGGCTGTGTTGCTCTGCACAGCGTCCCTGATGTACCTGAAGGTGCACGGAAAGTGACCCTTGCTGTATGTCACATTATTGATCAGGGCCTCCAACACCAACAGGGTCTCAACGATCTTGGGCATCTCCTCCTTGAGAGTGCCAACGGGACCCTTGTACTCGAACTTTCCCTCTGCGCTCAATGTCACCTTGCTGACCTGATCCCTTAGCGGATGCTCGAGGTCCAGGCTGTGGTGTTTGAAGCGATGGGCCTCCACACTGATGCTGGTGCCATTGTAAAAGTTCTGAAGCTGTTGATAAGGAGCAAAGCAAAAGGATTCTTTAGCATCGCTGTCACAGGACGAGAGTGTAGTTTGAGTCAACTTACCCAATCTTCGGTGATACAGATCACAGTGTCTTTGTAGCTCTGGGCTTTCTTCAGCGCCTTCTCGAGCTCAACAAATCCCTTGGCCTTGACCTCCATGCTTTTGCAACTCCTTAGTCCTTCGTTCTGGTTTATAAACAATACTGCGGGCTCCTTTTCAGCTTCCCTCACCAAGACGTGATGAAGGCGTCTGGCCTTCAACCGTCTGCGAAGCGGATGTCCTGGTGTCGCTGCTGCTGCTCCTGGTGCTTTTGGTTTCGAAGGAGCTGGTTCTGTTGAGCTATTGGGATGAGGCCAAATCAGATGAGCTCCACGGGCCACACGCGGTGCAGCCGATGTCCCCGTTGGCCAGCTGCTGGCAGCGATTGTGATGAGCAGAAGGACACCCAATAGCCAGAGCTTGGCAAGAGCTGGAAGTGAGAAAAGAAGAGATATTGGTTAGATGGACGTATAAATGAGAGGGTAAAGAAGTTTTTGCCAACTGACTGTGACACAAATCTAAGTAGATATCAACACTGATACCGGCACACCAGTGGAGATATAGAGCGGATTTATTGCGGATGTGATTCAGAGGCAATGTGGAGTGAGGACGTAGACGAAGGCCCAGACATTGACACTTACACAAACGTTTGAAATCGAAGCAGGAGGCAATGTTGCTGATGGTGTTGCTGCTGCTGTTGCTGCTGCTGTTGCTGCTGCTGTTGCTGTTGCTGCTGCTGTTGCTGCTGCTGCTGCAGACACTGTGTGCAATGGAGCAGGACCTTTGAGTCCTGGGCTCCGGTTCATGTTGCAAGCGTTGCAAGAGATTCTGCTCTGCGGCACAAGCACTGGTGTCAACCATTTTTATTTAGGTTTTTTAAACTTGATTGAGTCTAGTAACTGGGTTTTGGTTTAGTTCAACTGGGCCTGATTGGGCTAGGTCGCTAATATGTTGATTTTAAAGCGGTGCTGGAGCGCGTCTTGGCTCTGCGAGATCTTACGGTTAATGAGGTTGAGTTGGGGCCACACGCCCGCGTTTTATAGTCGCAAGCGCCATCCGGGCGATATCAGCAGCCGAAGCCCCACGAGCGGCGCAGCTTACTTACTTGCTTACTTTATTTTTTTCGTACATACGCATACACAAGTGCGGCACACTCACACCGTGCGACAAGTACTCGATGCTCGCAAACTCAAATCGACTCACAGCAATCCACAGCAACAACAATATTCGCAGCAAGAGCAGCGGCAGCATCAGCGAACGAGCGAACGCTCGATGACGACAACAGGGCCCAGCGGCCAATTGGAGGAGAGTCGACTGGCTAAAGCAAACACTAGTGATTCGCACTCTCCACAGAACACTGGGCTCACTGGTACACTGGGGACCGGGAATGGGGTACAGGGAATAGGGAACCGGGTACCGGGTACCGGGAACAGGGTACCCGGGCTAGGGGATTTGACTTTTGACGCGTGCTTAATTCTGTGGAAGCTCTGTTTCAATTTGTAACCGGATTCCCGATCAGGAAGCGGCCTTCTAGCTTTAAACATTAACCGCTCCCCCCCTCAGAGGGCCAAGTCTGACTCAGTGTTTGGCCAATTCCCTTGGCTCCGACTCCACTTCTTCCTGTCTTCGGGAAAGTGAGTGTAATTTATGCACGCACGCTTCTTGGCCCAAAACGGATGTACCATTGAATTCTTGGATGTTACACTGGGTTTTCACTATAAAGTGATTAGACCCCGGACACTATGTGAAGGGGTTTGTCAGTGCCTTGACTTGACTAGTTTAGTTACTATATCTAGCTTCCTTTCAGGGGATTTAGGGGACTCCCCTGAGTTCAACACCCTCACTAACCCATATCCATCTCCAATGAGGCAATAGTTCTAATTAGAGATAATCCACAGATATAACCCCATCGGCTTAGACAATCTTCGTGGTTTGTTAAATATTTGAGGTTGTTGTTGGTAACGATTTCGCGCTGGACCCACTTGCCTGGCCAGTGACGCGTCGCCTCGTAGGCATTTCCGATATTCCGATATTCGCTGTGGCACGTGCTCGCGGTAGCCACTTTTACACATACTGGTTGGAAATGGATGGACTTGGATGGCCCGGGCCACAGACCGAAGGTGACTTTAGTATAAGAGTTTGTCTCTTCTATCACGTCTCTCCTTCACTCACCCACTCACTATCACTCACTCTCTCCAAAGCCAAAGGTGAGGGAGGTCTCACTTATGGGTGTCGATCTCAGTCTTCATCTAGGAGTTACTCATACGCCCCGCGGGACATCCAGAGTCCGGGTTCAGCCCCGTCGTTCTGGCTTGCGTATGTCGCTACCCATTAAGCGAGTCCCACGAGTGTTTCGGGAGTTTCGTAACAGAGATTTCCCTGCCACAATGCGCACTTCCACAGGCGGCTTCCGTTCAAGCGAATGGGGCAAATTCCAATTACTGGGCAGAACCAGAATCAGAATCAAAATCAGAACCAGAGCGCCACTTGTGGCTTTCGAATTTCTCGGTACTGGAGCTGGGAATATTTTCGAGTGTTTTTCCTAAGATTCGGTTAAAGTATTGGCCCACTGCGGCATTTGATTATAGTTAGTTCTGATTACCCTTTTAGGTCTTTTTGAAAAAACTGGTCACTTGGCTTGTTGACTGTTAATTATCGCACTCGAGGTGCTAATTTTGGCCACGCACAAGTCATTGAATCTGCAACGTCAGACGGGCTTAAAGGGAGTTCCGCTATCTCCTGGCCATATTTGCTATTACCTCTTTTCTTTTTTATTTTTGAGATATGACAATATCCAGTGACGGAGCTATTTCCTTCATTACTTTTTCCAGAGTGACGTGACGTGGCGCTACTTAAGAAACATATAGACCAAAGGTCTAAAGTAAGGCACTTATCGGAGACCGCAGGCTACTAGCTGTTAAAAATGTATGGATATATATTTGCATATATAGATTCTCGAGGTATTAAGCCATAAAGCCATGACACCTCAGGGGCAATAGTTATGTTTGCTTTACATAAGCAAGAGCGATTATGTCCATAGAACTTATTTTTCTAGTTGATCTCTGAATTGAGAGTTTAATAATAATTCTATATATTCTGAATATATACCTTATTCTAAGGCCTAAAGCCCTATTCGAGGGTTTCTTTGGGTAAGCAAAGCCAGGAACTATCAAGTGCTTTGAATTATAAGTTTTAGGGAAGGATATTAATTTCCTTTTCCTCTCTATGGAGCTAATTTTAAATGGGAATAATCTTTGGTGTTTAGAGTTTGAGAATCTCATTATATATTCTCAATATATATATCATTCTAAGGCCTTAAGCCTCCTAAACTTCAGGGATAACCAAGAACTGAAGGTTGCCTTGGTAAATATGTTTTAGGCAACGGCTTTTCCGCTTTAAAGAGCTTTCTTTTCAAGTTAAAATCTTACATGGGAATGATATCTGAGTTAAGACTTGTAATATCATTATAATTCTATAAACATTCTAAGGCCTAAGACCCCCTAAAACTTTAGGGTTAGGAAAGAATTGGAAATACCCTTGGTTAGTCTGTTTTGTTAACCAACTGGAACTTCCTTTCCAAGTTCTCCTCCTTCATACCCTGTTAGCTCAAGTTCTCTATAAGGTCCATATATACTCCCCTAGTATTATTCAAGGTTACCTTTCCCCCATTTCTTCAACTCTCTCTACTTCCATTCCGTCTGAAATAGCCGGTGACGCAGTTGTTTAGCTCAGAATTTACTCCGAGGAAATACCCCAAGTGTCGTCACCTGTAGCGACCAGAGTGGGAGTGGGTCGAACTGACCACAGACACTCTGGGTTTACACTCGCACTAAGCTACAGGTAGTTATAGTCGGGTAAATCACCTGGCAAAAACCAAGCTAAGCTCTGAGCTCCGAGCTCCAAGCTCCGAGCTCCGAGCTCCGAGCTCCCTGTTTGCATTTGTGTTTAGTGGTTTAGTGACCAGCTCCTCCAGTGAGAGCTTGGAGCTCTCCATGCTCTCCGGGCGGGCCGCGTCATCATCCATTCAGTTGGCAATCGGCGGACAGTGTGAATCGGACCTACGGCCTACGGCGGCACACTCACATATTTGCTCAGCGCATTATATTATGAATGGAGGTGCTGTGGGAAGCACTTGGACGTCGTGCCTAGAAAACGCCAAGCTAATGCCAAAGCAAGGGGCTCGGACAGGTGAGAGAAGTGGCTATTTTTGGCGCTCGTCGTCGTCTTCAACAAGTCATGGTGTCTCGAGGTGTTAGTTTTGGTTGCTGGCTGCTGAGCCACCGGGATTCCCTCAGATGCCGGATTGTTCGTTACTCTTGTTATGTCGTCACTTGGCCATATCGCGTATACGCCCCGTGGGCAGCATTATTTAATTGAGAACTCACCTTTAAACAATTACTGGACCTGGTAACGTTGCACCCAAAAAAAAAGAGGAAAAGCTGCCGGAGAAGCTGAAAATAAAAAAGATTAAAGGATTAAAGGACATTGTCAAAGGGTGAAAAAACTCCATTTGGATTTTCCCGGTTAGACCTGAAAGTAGGCAACGCTTTGAGGCGAAGCTTTTCCTGCAAAAGCTAACGGTAAAGCTTGGAAATTTATTAGATGCCTGCTTTTAGGCACGAAAGCGCACAGTGATGTCCCTGACAAAAGGCTAAACTTTTAAATTTTAAATTTATTCAAAGCCACACGTTTGAATGGAAAGAGAGTGAACATTCATCAGTTGAGGAGAGGCTGTCATTCCACTTGTCGGTCAGCATTTCATGTAAATTAGTATGTATTTGATTTATCTTTGGACCTAGACAATGGTCAAGTGGCGTTCCAAAAACCTTAATCTTGGCCCTTAGTGAAAATATATAAATAAAAAAAAGTTCAAATTGGGTGATTTTTGTTAATTAAGCATAGCATATTGTCTGCTATTAATATGAGCTATTTTGAGTATTTCAAAAAATTAAAATAAAAGGAAATCCTGGATACAATTATTGATTTAAGATACAGATAATATAAGAAGAGATAAATACTGAATTAAGATAATACCGAATATATTTTAAAGTATAATATATAGGGAAAATATAAAAATAATATTATACTCAACTTTATAATAACATTTTTCTATGGTATATAAAAGAATATCGATATACGGTTTAACATATCGAAAAAATATTTGTTTTAAAATAATATCAAAAATAATGTAGAAGTATGATGTATTTTTTACATTTTTAAATATTTTCCGTATAAAAATTTAGATATTATTTTTAGTGAAAAGCAAACTAATGTCTGCTTTATATAAAGCCGAGTATTGATTTATCGATTTTACTTTGTTATATTTCAGTCAAAATATTGATTTAAAATAATGTTCGATTTATAGAAAATATCGAATATTATTGTATTTAAATTACAGTATCCATATTTTTAATATAATAATAATAATAATAATATATGAAACACCTTATCGATTTATCAAGTTAAAAAAATAAAAATTTATATCGAATAATATTAAAATGTTCGTTATAAAATGGAAATTCTTTTTAAATTAAAAACCCAGTTCCCTGTTCCCTAGTGTATACTGTACTTATAATTGCTAGCAGAGGTCGTGTAAAGTAAGTTACCTTTGTTTAAGATAAATAACATATTCTTCATATATTTTTTTAAATAAATTTTAATAAACATAGCTTTTCCAAGATTACCATGTGCCAGCTCTGAGTAACTTTTCCCACATAAAGCCTGTAAATAATTGATTTTTCCCAAGATTCTTGTTTACATTGATTTATAAACTATATTTCGCAGAATAAGCTTTGATATTTTCCCCCTTTAGACGCTGGGATATAAACACAATTAATCTGTAAATGAATCCACGTCTTGCCCCGTGGCTAAAATCTACCAGAATGCCCCACAGAAGAATCTTGCGCTCTCTCTCTTCTGCTGGCTTTCTGCTGTCGCTTTCACACACGCTCGCCGGGGGTCTCTCTCCCTCTCCCTCGCCCTCTCTCTCCTCTCTCTCTTTTTAATAACGATCTGCGGAGCATTTCCCACACGCGCTAATGTTTACTCACCTTTTAAACGCTTTGACGATGTATGTCTTTTTTTGTTTTCTTCTATTTGTTTGGTGCAGGTAAGCCCACGTCAATTAAGGCCCAGCGGCACAAGAAACTCGCGAAAAAATCCCCGAATTGACCAACGGAATTAAGCGAACACAACAGGTAAGGGTTTTTAACAGAAACACAGAGGAAAAAGCGAACCGGTGAGGTCGAATGATGAAACTGAACTGAGGCGCACCAAATCGACAGCTGGAGAGGTTGCTTACTGATGATGATGATGATGACAGCGGCAGTGGCAGCAGGAAAAACCGTCAAGACAGCGGTTTGTTTGAGTAATGCAATCTCACCTTAATCCCCAATCAAGTGACACTTTTCTTACCTTAAGAAATTATAAATACTGGATAAATCGCTAACTGGCGTATGCTTTATCTAGTTTGCTGTATTCAAACCTCAAAAACCCCTTTTTACAAGTTGAAAGCAGCACTCGAACCATTCCGATTTCATTGTGAAGGACACCACTGTCGTGGATAGTGTCTTTGCTAAGGCGGTTAGGCTATCAGCTAAAAAAAAGCCCTGTGGTTTGTGTCCTAAATGGGGAAAATATTTATAATTTGAGTAAAAGAAAAGTTCTTAATAGAAATACTTTAATTTATACTATATTAAGCAGTCCAAAAATATAAAATATTTATTTTGAAGTCTCTTTTAATAGGAAGTGCATCCTTCGAAGTGTGGCTTTTATTGGTAAACATTATCCTTAATATTTTACATAATATTCTACTTAATAATATCTTTAACTTTTGAATATACCTTAATACAATTCTGATTCCTCTGACAATTTGCACATAATTAGTAAACGACTGTCTAGCTGATTAGCCAGACACACTTGTGGCCGTAGCTTTGTTACCAGTGTCCTGTGCTTTTGCCCTTGTCCTGTGCCTGTGTCCTATGTCCAGTGTCCTGCTTCCCCCTGACATTGCATGCAGCTATCGAAGCGTTCGAATTTCACGCTTGACAGGCGTCCTGGCGGCCAGGACTTATGCAGCAGAGGTCATCTTGGATAGAAGAGAGCACCCTATACCAGCTAAGGTATGCCAGTTTGTAGGGCATTTTATATTATTTAAAAAAATGTACAAAAATTACAAACAAAAACGCTTTAAATTTCTTTAAATATCACTTTCCCTGATATTAATTCATAAATAACAAAACCAACATAATAATATCCTTCTGTCAACCCAAATTTATAATGCTTCGCTGTGCTTTTCCAGGACATTCCCCAAGCTCTGTAGGGTCCTCCCTCCTCCCTCCCTCCCCCTCCAAAAGCCAGAGTCCGGGGAAGTCCCTGCGCTGATGTGAGAGCCGCGGGCTGTTTGGCCAGTCAAGCGTTGCATAAAGCGCATTAACATTTAATGCCTGTTGCCGTGGCCAAGGCCAGGACCATACCCATAGCCACATAGCCAGTCGTCCTTCGTCCTTCGTAACCAGGTAGCTGCCGAATTTGCGTTGCATACTTCGAGGCGGTTGGAGGCTGAGGGATGTTTGATTTATGACTGCCTGCCGCTGGGCAGGACCTTTCCCCTCCTCCTCCTCCTCCTCCTCTGTGCGATTTGCCTGCATTTGGCACCGATGCCCATCAATCATGTTAAGCGAAAGCCAAAAAGCATATGGAATTGGAATCAGAATCAGATTCAGATTCAGAATCCGAACCGAATCCCCTTCAGAAATTAAAGCAACGTCAATCTGTACACATAAACTATTTATTTCCGTATATATATATGTATATTCCATATGTATATATAGATGTATATAGGTAATGTATATTGGGTGTATATTTAGCTGTATATTGGGTATATTGTATGTGTGGTAAAGTACTCTAACGCCTCCACCGTTCACAGAAGAATCCCAACTCCCTTCCCGTCTTCTTTTCTTCTCTTATCGAATTATCCTGGAATATCCTGTGAGTCTGTGAACGATGGTTTTTGGGGCGCCAGAAGGTTGCCTCATGGAGCACCCACATATCTCCATAATTCCACTCAACGCTCATTTTGGTTAGTTATTTTTATCGGCTTTAACTTGGTTTCGTTTCTTTACATATTATGTGTCATCAATTGATTGTTTTACATTCGGTTGCATTTGGATTTTGGCTTACAAAAAAAAACAAAAAAGAACTACTTCAACTTCAACTCCTTTTTTTCCATCTTCACTCCTCGCTCTCTCATACGCATAATTATGTACAAACGTATTCCCTCGGTTATTTCTTTATTTGCTCAGCTATTTACATAGATATATATTTATATATATGTATATATATATAGACCTTGGTCGTATATATACATACATGTGCTTATTTGTGCCATCATCATTCGCCCTGCGTGTCACTTGCCATTTACTCACTAGATTATGCGTAGTTTTGCCCACTTTTCCCCCTGTCCTGGATGCTGTGTCCTCTAGGGAACCCGCAAAAGGCCCGAAGGCCAAACAAAAATCATTGGATCTGATCGCTCTCTCAATAGTAGTTAGATTTAGTACTTGGAACCATAGACAATATAAAAAAATAATAAGATGCGTAGCGCCATACGGTATTTTCTCTCTTGAAAGTTTGATGAAAAGCAATAGAAAGAAAACTGGTAATACCTAGAATATCCCTGGCCTATATCTGTTATAATACTTGTATATATCTGGTATATTACTGGAATATTCTTGGTATATTCCCAATATATTCCTGGCATATTCCCAATATATTTCTTATATGCTTCTTATATATTTTTGGTATATTACTGGAATACTTCTGGTACATTCCTGGAATATCCACGAATTATCCTAGTTTATTCCTGATATTGTCCTCGAATATTCATGGAATATTCACGATACATTCCTAGTATATTCCTGGTATATATTCCTGATATATTCCTGGTGTATTCTTGGTGTATTCTTGGTATATTCCTTATATATTCCTGGTATTTTCTTGGAAATTTTCTGGTTTACTTCTGATATATTCCTAGAATATTCATGGATAATTTCCAGTATATTCCAAAAATATTCCAAGTTTATCCCTAATATACTCCAGGTATTTTTCTCGAATTTCCCATTCAATTCCTGGCTTATTCCCAATACATATATAGATCTTTTAGATTTGCCTGTCTGTTCTTTGATATATTACTTCATCCCTCTTAAGTTCTGCTTGCAATCTAGTTTATGTATGTGCGTTACGCATCTTATTTATTACATTGTCTTTGGTGGGATATCCTGCTCCCACTCCTCTTTTCATGGATTTTCGACTAAGAATTAACAGTAAAACTACTAAAAGTACTGTTATTCGGTGGTAGCCGCCTGCTTTTCGGATGTATAGTCTTAGGTCTTACACACAATAAACAGACACATTTTGGATATTAACATTAACAACAATTGAACAACGGTAATTACAATTGCACGACATCAACATCAACGTCAACAATAATGACAATATATTAAGGCAGCCATTCGAAGAAATCAGCGAAACCAGATTCCCTACTTTGCTGATTGTTCCGATGGCTGTCTATTATTTTTCTTGTTTTTCTTTACTTTTTACTTAAACATAGAGTTCTCATGGATGCATTATTATCTTGTATCTTGTATCTTGTATCTTTTGCGGTACACATACACTTTTACACACACGAATATGTCTCGTTAGTTATAAATCTATGCACATTCAATGCTAAATCAATCGAAAAAAATTGCATCCATATATAGTATATGGCGTACACGTATTGTACATATATATATATGTATTTCTGTGTATATATATATATATATATATATATATATTAGGTATATATACAACTATCAAAAATAGGACAAATAGAACTAGAGAGTTGCTTTGGCCTTCATTTCTAACCTCAAACGATGATCATTCGATTCGCCACGCCCTCCCTTTTGTACACATTTATATTTATATATATATATATATATAGTAGTTATTGTTATATAGGTTTTTTTTAGATCGGTTATAGCAACGATATATAGAACAACAGTTAGGATGATGAGCAAAAACGTGGACAACTTTAGTTTTAGTTTTTGTTTTTGTCTGCGACCAAGAAGGATCGCACTTGTAAATAGTTTTGATATATATATATATCCTTAAATATATATATATATATATATATATATATATATATATATGTGTGTATAAGTGTATATGTGTAGATATTGTATATTATTCGAATGCTTGTATAGATATAGATCAGTATTAAGGTAAATCGCTCTCTATATATGTATATATAGAATACTCTTTAATAGGTATATATATAACACACTGAAAGTGAAAGTTAACTTTGGGTTTTCCTCCATGAGTTGGACACACACACACACACATGGAAATTGGAAATTGGAAAAACACGTACACACTCAGACATTTCGGGCACATTGAGATACAATTCAGGGTTTTCGGGATATCATATTGATATAAATCGAATATATTGAATAGTTCCGTCAAGTTCTGTGCACTCTCAGCATAGCTCCTCAGTATCTGTATCCTTCAGATGCATTTGCATCTGTATCTGCCAAAAACTGTACTTAAAAACAATGACAGCAGGCCAGCATTGTGCCCATAATCATCATCGTCAACGCCATGGGGAATGCCTTTTGACCAAATTGACAAATTGACAAAGCCAAATGCCACATAGAGAAACACACTTGATTGATTGCAATATTGACTGATTGTTTGTTTGTTTGTTTCGCCTTCTCGCCCCCTCAGTATCTCAGTATCTATGTATCTATCTTTCGCCCACTCTGTTTGCCAATTTTCTTGAATTGCGAATTTCCAATTTGAATTTCTTTGTTAATTGATTTTCAAACTTCTTCCTGGGACTTTCACCCACTGCTTTTCTACTTTTCCGCTTTTCCGCTTTTCCGCTTTGCCGCCTTTTTGCATTCATTATTATTTTACGTTTAACATTAAATATTCAACGCGAACATTAAATTATATTCGATTTTCAATTCAGCTCGACTCGATTTAGTTTTGTTTGTGTGTTATGCGCTTTATGAACTGCCTCGAGTAAGCTCAGATTGTACATACAAATTACATTTATTGTTTGGTTTTACATTGATTAAAACTTTGAAGTCTATAGACATTTATTTCCTATACGCGTATATATATGTTATATATATATTGTGATGTGTATACATATATATATGTCTGTCTGTAGGTATTTGCACGTATTCGTGCTGATTTTCATTGAGAGTGTATTGTATTTATTGTGATATTTCTTGTGGCAAACATTCACTCGATCTGCCAGGAAAAAAAAGATATATATACATATATGTGCTTCAGATATATGTTTCAGTTAACCATTATCCAATGTCTTATTCTTTGTCAAAACTCCTCAAACCTAAATTGCTCTCTGCACGTAGAAAAATATTTCGATATATCGATATTCCTTCGTTTCTCCTGCACTTTCGCCATTTTCAACATTCGATTTTCGATTACAAATGGTATGCAAATGTATGAGAATATATATATATATTTATATTTATAGTTATCTGTAGAATTATCTATATATGAGGTCGGTCTTAATGGAGGTATTAGATGAGGTGAGCTGAGGTTGAGTCCTGGGTGGCATTTCCTTCGATTCCTGCTGTCCCTGATCTGTGATCTCGGATCTGACATCTATGATCTTTCATCTTTGATCTGTGATCTGTGATCTCTAATTTCCCATCTCTGATCTCTGATAGGCTTGAATCCCTCGCAGCATCGCCTTAATCACTATCGTTTATCGCTTAACTATCTGCCTATCGATCACTGTTTATCGCTTATCGTTTCGCATTGAATTACCAATTTACCATTAAGTAAAGTTACTTGTACCATTATAGTTTCTCTCTTGTACTCTTATTGTTCACCGTTACTCTGATTCTGAATCTGTTTCTTTACTGTGCTTGTACTGTGCCCTTACTGTGCTATTACGGATCCTTTACTGTGCTGTTACTGTGCTTTTACTGTGCTCTTTCTACCTCTCCGGTTCTTTGTTCTTTGGTCTAATTACTGTGTATTGCTGTTCCGTTTACTGTTTTAGTGCTAATTTCTCTATTCGATCATTATCTGCTGTAACCAATAAGCATTAGGTATCGATATCGGCCTCTGTTCGTCCCGTTATTGTTCCAATGGATCCTTAGGTACACGGTTTACTTTGCAGTTCTAATATCTCGTTCAGTTACTGTTCCGCTTTGGATTATATGAAGTGCAAAATGGTTGCTGTGTATGAGCTTGTTTGTGTATTTGTGATTCTATGCGGTTGTCGTTATTTGTTTCCTGGTTGACTGACGATTGTGTGTGTGCATCCTGCATCCTGCGGAGTGCGATTATTGTTGTGGTGATTCCATGGCTGCTGAGCTTATTGTTCACTGGTGCGTATGTATGTGTATAGTAAGCCTCAAACTTCATCGGTTCGCTTCATTTTCGATTTTCGATAAGGACTTTCCTGGATCTCAGAGGTGCAAGTAGCTGGCTGCAAGTCCGAAATATGTGAATAACAAAAGGCGAAACGAAAGGATTCATTTGCATTAATTGATATGGATTGACTAAATAATAACAATAACTAATTAGCATTAACTACAAATAGTTCATGGAGAAATGTGAGAATACCATATATGCTTGGTATACAAAGCAATAAGATGCATAACGCCTTAGGAAGGCCAAATGTTAAGCAGTAAATAAAATACGTATCTTATTGTATTAATTATAATTAATACTAAGCTGCACTAAAGTACTCTGTTTAGGCTTAGTATCTTGCCTATTCACAAAGCTAAATGAATAAGATGCGTAACGCAATACGACTTCAAAGGAAAATTTAAAGGACAAATGGGATCAAGTGAGCATTTTAACAGAGAATAAAATGAAAATCTTTTTTGGTTAATAATAATGGTAAGTACTTGGCTTATGCTCAATTTGCTTACTCAATCACTTACCTAAATAAATAAGATGCGTAACGCCATGAGATGAGTGAGTAAGTAAGCAATTAAGTAAAGAGTTAAGTAGCAATATTATTATTTTATTAATTATATATGTAATAATTCATTCTAATAGTATGTACTGCTTCTCATTCACTTGTCATGCAGATGCATAACGCCATAAGATTAAGAAAATTATAAAATACCCTTATTATTGAATTTATAATATATATAATAAGTAATACTATTTTTACATTCTATTTATTTAAAGCATATATTTAAGGACATGACATCCACTCACCGTTGTTGCTGCTTTTAGCCGGGACTCGACCCTTGGCTGCTCTACTTGCCTCTGCGTCCCCCGACCTATTTGACAAACAGGTCCTTGAGCGTGGCACACAGCGAGGCATCGCACGTATCCTTCGAGTCATCCTCGTCCGCCTTACCAAACCAATTCAATGTGGATCGCACCGCCCTGCCCGCCTGCGATTGAGCCGAACTGCCAGCGGCCGAGGCCCGACTGCGACGTGCTCCATGGGCAGGACTACCGCTGGCACTGCCCGCATCCTTGCCAGCCTTGGGCGTGGCACCGCGAGCCGCCGCCGCCGAGGTGGAGGCACCACCACCGCTTGAACCACTTGAGCCAGTTCCTGCCATGCTGGCATTGGAGCTCTTGCGCAGAAATCCTTCGATGGCGGTGCCCAAAATGGTGGCATCCACAATATTCGCCTTGGTGGCATCCGCCCAGCTCTTTTTCTTGGCCCGTGGCTTAAGCTTCGGCTTGCCGGAATCCCCACCAAGTGGATCCTTCTTCTGCAACCGCTCCAGCACATCCTTGGACAGGGCCACCGCCGAACTCTTGCTGCGCACACTCTTCTTCCGTGCCATCGGCTGATGTCGCTTGGCAAACCAACCGGACAACGCCGCCGAACCATTATCCTGGGCATCGCTCACCAGTTGCTTGGCATTGTTTAGCAAGGACACATCGAAACTGTTGGAACGCGTGGAACGTCCGGCATTAGGATCGAGTAGGCCACCGGTGGTGCCAGAGCCACTGGCTCCACCCGCCTGCGAGACACCACCGGTGGTCGTTGGTGTCGGTGTGGCACTGGTGGCCCTCCCACGAGCTGCCGCCTGAAAAGTTTGACTCAGAAAAGGACTACTGGCCGGTGCTGTGGCCGATGAACTGGCACTGGAGCTATTATTATCCCTGCCCTCCGGCTCCGGTCGATGCATATCCATGGCCGAACTGGTCAAAGAACTAAAGATGCCAGCCAGGTCGGTGCGACTTCCTAGGAGTCCGGTGCCACTGCCAGATTTCTTGCGACGCGTCGAGGCGCGATTCTGTAACTGCGATGGAGTCTGCTGCTGCTGTTGTTGTCCTGGCTGCTGTCCTGGCTGTGGAAACTCGGAGGCACGGCGAAAGGAGCTGGCCAGACCCGGCTGTGGACACTCGGAGTAGCGGCGATTGGTGAAACGCCTTCCCGGCTGACCGGTTCCAGCCTCATCCACCGTTTGCACCTCGCAAACCTTCTCATTGGACGAGGTCCAGAGCTTCAAGCGTGCCTTCCGGGATTGCAAATAAATGTCATCCATAATGTCCAGTTGCAGATTGTGGATGCTGCCGATGGGATCCGTCGATGGGGGGCCAGTGTTGCTCTCGCGGCGTGAATTTAGAATCCTGCTGCTCCTGCGGAAAGAAAACAAATTGAAAGATATATATATGTATTGGGAAAATTTCTATACCCGCACAGCAGGTGGGTTGGCGGGGAGGTCAAAGGACAAAGGTTAAATATTTCATAATTAAAATTGAACTCGAAACTGGAAATAATCAACAGCAAGTGCAAGTGCAAGTGCAGGAGCAAAAGCAATTGCTCTATTTCAAATTGATTTTCGAGACTGGAATTTAATCAAGTGCTGCCCTGAGCTTTACAAAGCAACAGAGTTTTGCCAAAAGGTTTTGTCATTTTTATTTCACAAATAATGGAGTCTCAATTGAATGGAAATAAATCTAGAAAATTCAAAGTTTTTTATGCTTTCCACTCCGAGTTATATTTATTACTGTCACAAAACTTTTACACCTTTTCCCGGACCATCTTTCATTTATTTATGTCACAAAATTTTAAGGATATGCTAAAGACTTTAAAATCTAGTCATTCTTAGGCATTATAATGTGACTAATGCAAGTTAATTTCACTCATTTTGTGGGGGTAATATTTATTAAATAATATCTATGTTTTAGAAGTGTTTTCCAAATCCAATTTTTATTCTTTCAGATACAATCTAAGGGTTTTGCTGAAGACTTTAATATCTATATGCTTTTAAGTATTGTGACTTCAGTAACTTAAGTACGTTTCTATATATTCTATATATTCTATATATTCTATATATTCTATATATTCTATATATTCTATATATTCTATGTATTCTATATATTCTATATATTCTATATATTCTATATATTCTATATATTCTATATATTCTATAGATTCTATATATTCTATATATTCTATATATTCTATATATTCTATATATTCTATATATTCTATATATTCTATATATTCTATATATTCTATGTATTCTATATATTCTATATATTCTATATATTCTATATATTCTATATATTCTATATATTCTATATATTCTTATATTCTATATATTCTATATATGCTATATATTCTATTTATTTTTTATATTCTATATACTCTTTCCTTCTTAAAATTATACATTCCCTGATACAAAAATAAAACGATATACTAAAGGCTTTATCAATCGATTTAAATCTATTAATTTTTAAGCATTGTGAGGTTACAACTGCAAGTTCTTTTTGCTACATTTAGGAGGAATAATCAATATATTCTCTTTATATATGTTCTAAAATCCTTTTTCTACTCCAACTTTTAAACTTTATGGTTAAAAAAAATCTAGGATATTATAAACGCTTTAAACTCTTTTTATTTTTAAGCATTATAAAGTAACGAATGCAAGTAAATTTGGTTAATTTAGTGGGGATAATATATGTTATATGTTAAAGGGAGTACTCTAGATATTCTTTATATCTGTATCCTATAACCCCTTTTTCTACTTTTTCTAATTTATACACTTTATGCTACAAAAAAAATCCAGAGATATGCCGAAGGCTTTAAGATTTATACATTTTTGAGAATTCTGACAACCCTTTGAAGTTTATTTCTGGTTTTTTAAAAGGGATTATTGTACAATTTCTAGATGTCTAGTCCGGAGAGTTCTTAAATATTCATGTACAACTTCTTATTTATAATTTCTAATTGAAATATATTATATATCCAAAGTTCCCTTTAACTAAACCTTAACTCACATAGAGAACTGAAGTATCCTTTTCCTCTTTGCTTTCTTAATCACTCTAAAAATTCCTTAAAGCGAGTCAAAATTCAGCCTAGTCCCATCATATTCTTGGTTATATATTACTATTAGTATTAAGTTTATTTCCCTAAAAAACCCATACTTAATAAAATTCTATTTAACTTAATAAATCACTTACCCATTGCTGTTGGGATAGGCGGCAACGGATTCCCGACGCGAACGACCAAAAATGGTAGTTGGCACCTTCGAAATGGTGACCACCGAATGGCGCCTTCCGGTCGGAGCCGGTGCCTGTGACAATGTGGCCAAGAAGGCGGCCTCCTTGGGTGTGGGTCCCGAACCCTCACCGCCACGCTCCGAGAGCCTTCGCACCTGGCTGGCCGTGATGCCCTCGGTGACCTGTTGCGAGGGCAGCGAATGCTTGCGAGCCTCGCGAGGATCACGCCAGGGGGACAGGAGATAGGGATTGACGGGGGAGTCGATGTCCAGGCTGCCACGGTTCGAGACCGTTGGCTCCGAGCTATCTGGCTCCTGCTCCTCCGGCAGATTGGATTCCTCCACCACAATGAGCGGTTCGGGTGCAATGATGCTGTGGTTGCCCTGCGGCTGAGGACGCGCCGCCTGCGTGGGCGGTCTAGGATGACCGGGTCCGGTTGATTGACCCGTAAAGCGGGCAAAGGGGGAGCCCCGAAAGCGTAGAGCATCTGATGGAGGAGCAAATTTTAAAATATTATCAATAAAACCAACTTCCTTGGCCAGGATGTAGTGGAGAGTGGGAAAAGAAGTCCTGCCAACTTACCCATTTTGTGTAGTTTTCTCAATTGTTAGCCAGCGGAAAATTCGCTCTCCTCACTTCCTAAGCCCTCTGGCTTAATCCAAATCCTTTTTTCCTGGTGCTTACTCTCCTTTGTTTACTGATCCTTAAAGTGTCCTAGCTGCAAAGACAGAGGAAGATATTTATTATATAACATAAATTAAACGAAATCAACTTTTATACAATTCTCTATTCTCAAAGCAATGTGTAGGCGTCTCCCAGGACTTGTTGCTACCAATCAAAGCCAAGTTAAATACTCAAAGGCCGAAACGTGCTAACCAGAGTCCTGCCAGGATTGCTCCCTCACCAGAAATAATTGCTTAAGCTGAGTGCGGCTATTTGTAGAGTTTCTAAAAACAAAAAAAAATATATATATATAGAGTAGAGTATAAATATGACTGTCCAGCTTTATCTGTCATGTGTGAAGTGCCCTCACTCCGCTCTCTTCCTGCTCATTATCCCCCGGGCTACAAATTGCAAATGGCAGCAAAATCATGCATCAAAGTAATTAAAGCCAGTGTCCTGGGACATTTCGCTTCGCTGGAGATGACTTCACTCTCCCATCGTGGTAGGGACAGCAGGAGCAGTCCCGTCATAATGAGCATAAAATTATGCAAAAAGTTGAAATAAAATTTCGCTATAACTCAGATGCCACAAGAGTTTATGTGACGCCAAGGGAAAATGGGAATCCAGGATCTGGATTAAGGAATCCAGGATCTAAGAAGCAGAAGGTTAGGTCAGGAGTAGCGGTAGCTTTTCCTTGGAACAGTGGCTAATAATTACCAGTTTTGCTATAAAAAATAAAAATATATATACTACATCTTTCAACCTCATTGAATCCTTTGACTTTCTCTGCTGTGAATCAGTATAACAGTTTCGCTAAGGGAAAATGGGGATCCAGGATCTGGATTGAGGAATCCAGGATCTAGAAAGCAGAAGGTTAGGTCAGAGGTAGTGGTAACTTTTCCTTGGAACACTGGCTAATAATTACCAGTTTTTCTATGAAAAATAAGAAATATACTACAGGGTAACTTTCAAGACAATTCTTCAACCTCATTGGTTCCTTTGACTTTCTCTGCTGTGAATCAGTATCACCCTTTCACATTTCCTGGGACTCAACTCCGTTTCCTGGGATCCCTGACCGCGGCACTTAACAAACCCAAATTACATAAGCAGTCACTGGTTGGACTTTTGAGCGGAAGGAAACCCGCCTTTGATTTGATTAGGAAGACTTGCATAGTCCTTGGGCCTCAGTGCAACGCGGTCAGCACAAAGTCGCAAGTCGCAAGTCCCAACCCCCCATCGCCCTCAGTCACAAGTCGCAAGTTCATTAAGCTTGTAAATTGGCAATCAACACCAAAGTTGCGGCTTTGTGTTGGAGTTAATTAGCCTGTCTATGCCACTGACAGGACTCTTGGACGACTCCCCCGAACATCCGCATCCGTTTCCGCCTTGCCTTTGCCTCCGTCTCCTGCGCTTCAATTATTCTTCCGGGAAATTGTGCCACGCTTTTCATTGTCAGCTTCTGAGGTACCAACTACTAAGTGAACTAATTAGTGAAATCAAAAACCACAAAAAATAAAACAATTCCAAATTCGAAAGTTAAATAATCGCTACCACAATTAATCAGAATATTTAAGAGAGAGAGCTCTCTCTCTCGATCTCCAGTTTCATTTTCGTTCCTGTCATTAATGTGGAAAATGGGAATTCCTTTCTCTGGGTTAATTTGGCGAACCATGCATCCTTTATTGCATGTCCTTTTTGCGAGGCAACCAGCATGAGGTCCGAGTACCTTTCCCATTTTGCGGTTTCACCCACCGACTGACCATATTAGGCACTCCGAACCAATTGTGCAGCTAATGTGGCAACTGGACGCAACCAACTGACCCACCTACCTCCCATTCTCTCTCTGTCTGTCTTTCTGGTAATGGGGAATACCAGAAATGCGAGCAACAGAAACTAGTTAAGTAAGCGTTTCAGTCACTGCAGGATGTGGGTGGATGTGAAACCAGGGGCGGATGTCTTCTTTGAGGAATCAAATCAAGTTGGCTTTGATCAAATTATGGCACACAACGATGGCTACATCGGGGGAGGTTCATTTATGAGCCAAGCTGTGCTGCTGCTACTGCTTTTAAATTTGTTTGATTTAAGGCAAAAATAAAATGACTTTTCAATTGATTCAAGCAATCTGCTGGATCCATTTTGGTCAATGTGTGTATTTGGTTAGTCACACACATTTTCCACGCCACTCAACGGTCCTCAGACTCAGACTTCACCCACCGTTCGAACCAATTTTGTGGGTGATTGATTGACTCGGTTTCGGATAGAGGACAACCCAAATCGAGACGGTGAGTTGTGTTGAGTTGAGGGTCCATTTGACAGATTGACGCTGTGACTGTCCACCGGACACCGGGACGAGTCTGTCCCATGCTCGAACGCCATGCTCAATTTCAGCTTAGCTTTGTTTAATGGACTTGCACAAAAAAGTTTACAAAGCACTTTGCATCCAAGCAAATGGATGATGGACATTGGAGTGGTGCAGAGAGAGTCCTGTCCTGGAAGGACATCCATCAGCTATCCTCGCTTAATGCAACATTGCATATTAATGGGGCATTAACATTTAGCATTCGATGACGATGAAAGGCACTGAGGGATTGTCCAACCAATAGCTGTTAATTGCCCCGGGGACCCCATTCCAGTGATTCCCAGTGTGTGAGTAATTCCCAGTCTAACCTAACCACCTTGGAATCCTCTTTTGGGTTTTTGTAGCCAAACGCTTAAGTGGCGTTAAGTAGCTTGGCCTTCCCTCTCTTAAGTGTTTGTCAGGTTTTCCAAAACCATTTTTAGATTCCATGGTGGACATTTGAAAAGCCAAAAGGTTAAGGGTTAAACCGCATATATATATGTGGCACACATCATCACCATAAGTTCCAGACACAAAACACATCTCAACATTTCGCACATTCACAAAAAGCTCGAGGAAATCTATTTGTTTGTTCTCCTTGCGTACAACTTTTACCATTTTCCCTGTCAGATTACCTCGAGCACATACCCATCAAGGGGGTATGTCCAGTTGAGGTCAGGTACTATTCACATTCTGAGTATATGTATACCAAACTTGGTTTCTGCATGAAATTAGATTTCCTGTCCTGGCGTGAATTCAACCCCAAACCCAACCCCACACCGAATTATGCCATTGTGGATTGCAATTCCTTGATACCCATACCCCATATGAAGGTCCTGTGGAACAAGGAGTAGTCAAAGAAGTTCTTGCTGAGATGGTAAGGGGTTGGAATGGGTCTGGGTTGGGTCTGGGGGAGATGCCGTAGAGGAACAGCATGATTGCGGCTTTCTCATCTGACTTTGACATGCAGCAGTTGCACCTGGCAACGGAAGTGCACACACATCCTCCGCCCTCCTCCCTCCTCCTCTTCTCTCACACACATCGTTACCCCCAAACCAGATTGTGGTAGCATTGGTACCACTTTAAGTTCCTGGAAGCAGCCACCTCTAGATTCGCTTCAGATTTGTTTAGATTATATATAGTACTATATATATATCAACTGGGTTTTCCCTTCAAAAGTATCGAACAATCTCAAACTCATTAAACATTTAGTGGCACCTGGTGAAAAATGTGTCCATTTCCTATGTGCAATTTGAAAATGTTCTGGCCAACTCCTACCGTTAACTGCTTTCCCGTTTTCCCACTTTCCGCCTGAGTTTTCCCGCTTCCTTGCTGAGAGCCATGTCCTTTGACAGGCTTGTTTATGACATGCAACGAAAATGCGGCCAGCACATGGGCAAGGACTTGCAGGTGAAGGTGGAGATCCTGCTGGTCTTGGTCATGGTCATGGCCCTGCCATTGATGGGAAAACTTTCTCCCTGAAGAGAGAAAGGGTGGAAAGGGGTGGGTGACATCCGCTTTAGGCTCGGCGTTGTGATAACATTGTTATCGCCTAGCTATGCATTTTTTTTTGTGTACAACTAAAAAGTTGCAAAAAGCAAGTGCGATATGTATGTGTGTGAGCGGCACAATACATTAACGCGGCAAAGCGGAAGTGGAAGCGGAAATGTCACACATTTGCTGCCGCTGGCAACATTGTGGCAGCAGTGTCGCGCTGCCGAGCAGGAAGCGAAGCGAAAATAGCAATCAAAACTTAACTGAATTGCAGCACATGACGGCAGTAGGTCCTTTGGGATCCTCTACACCCTCCTCCTCCTGCTGCTGCTGCCACACCTACAAAGTTGGCTGAGCGAATTAAAACATAAATGCATTTGCAGCTGAGCAACAGGATAGAAGAGGAGCAGTAGCAGGAGCAGGAGCAGGCAGCGTTTACTCCTAATCGAATCGAACCGAAGTACCCAAGTGGGCCAAGTGGAAATGCCAGAAAATTTGCGTTGCCCTGGAAAATGTGAACAAAAAACTCACACACAGAAGTGGAGGGAAAAGAAAAAATGAGTGGCAAGAAAGGCAAAGCTTCTGTAAAACATACTACGCCCACTGCCCATTACCGCCCACTCGATCTCATCTCTCTCTCTCTCTCTCTCTCTGTCTCCCCTACTTTTATGGACCCATAGAAATTCGTTGGCCATTGAACAAGGACAAGGACGAGTACAAGGACGAGGACGAGGACGGGGACGGAGACGGGAACAAGGACTGTGAGCAGTACCAGAACCCGGACCGCGCTGTCTGCTCTTGCTTTGCTTCCAATTGAATCAAATTGAATTCAATTGAATTCGCATGTTGCTCATTGAATTGCACAGATTATGGCTAAAATACAATTTTAATTTCACAGAAAAAATACAGAATACAAAAAAAATTGTGTGCAGGAGTATTACGAAGTGCTCTTCAGGCCTGTTCGTGTCCCTTTATGCTTGATACCGATTCACAGTGACTAACTAACAAAGTTATTCAATTGCAATCTTTCCATGGAAACTTTGAACTTCCAGCAATTGTACTTGGAAGGTGGACAGGTTGTTTTCTGCTCCATAAAACTCACCTGGAATAGTGCTTATATCAGGTTACATTTCCTCAAAACCCTAACATCTTCATTATCTTTGTATGTTAGAGTTACTCATCTTGTTCCTTTACTAACCAACATTTGCGGGAAATCAGCTCTTGGAGCGCATGAAAGTATGCTATATTTTTAGTAACGTTCTGGAATTTAATACTTCTTGGAAAATGGAAGGAACTTCATTGAAAAATATTTCGAGAAAAGCTT